TCCGGCAGGGATTGGACTGCAGTATATGCGTCTCCCCCCGCTCATTAAGAGTCCGCTGAGAGACCCTGCTCATCAACGCGCGGTGGGGTCATATGACTCTGGCCGTTCATCTGCTAATGATGTCGAGCTGGGCCGTCGATTCGGTGTGTAGACTGTCAGCGGAAGATTTGGGCTGTGTCGGTCGATGGGAAGGGCGTTGTCATTTGGCGGGAGAGATCGTTTGGTTGGAAAGTGGAGGGAAATTTGGAGGGATTGTGATTGTGATTACGTGCAGCGTCCAGCTTCATCGCCCCTCGAAGGACGTGTTGTCATTGTTCACGGCTCTGCGGAAATTGGTGTCAGATCGATCCATTGAATAACGTGTGAAGCAGTACATACCTCAGAGAAGCATCCGTAGCTCAGGAAGAACGTGGGGTTGTGTATGAGATAGGGAAGGAGAAGGGGGGTACGCTGCTGCCTTGGTTGAGAACAAGGGTAAAACGTCGCAAAGGATATACGATACCCCTTCTGTTGTATTCGCGCATTGGACGTCTGAGTACCGAGGTTTAGTTGACGTTGTGAGAGACAATGATGGCGTACACACCTCAAAAAGACCACTTCTTTCGATTCTCAATGTTTTCAGCATATCAACTGTACGTCTCCAAATCAAGGTGAGGTGACGCCAATCTTCGAGGCCTGTTACAGTCACCGACTCCGAATCCGCTGCGTGCTACTGCCCTTTGCATATATGATTGAACGTTTGTATTTTTTCTCACTATTTGTCTTGGCCAAATATGATGACAAATGTTGCCAAATTAAGCCGACAGACGAAGGTCTCGTCCGTCTCTGGCTCTCGCCCTCTGCAAAGATCTGAGAGACGACGTGGTGAAGTGGCCTCAGGGTTATGGGTATTCTTACACAAAGCTTGATGAGTTTTTAGGCTATTGATCTGGTACATTAGCAGTAGCTTGAGTAGCTATACTTATGGTCAATCTACTGATCCCTATGCATCCCTTTACAATGTTTTATAATAAATACCCCAGGAGGCTGAGAATACAAATATCTCGCATTTCTTGACAGTCTGCAGAGCAGCAACCCAGAT